GCTAGACCGAAAATGCACAGTGTCACTTCTAACAGTTATTTGTTGCACACTGAATTGTTCTGCATCGGGTTCACTTCCTCTACAGGTTTACGTTCTCGTGTTCCCTCCCTCCAGAGTTTCACAGGTGCTTCTATGAGATTCACTGTTTGTTTTCTTAAGGGCACCTTCCCTTTCAAATCATTGTCTTAAAACAGATTTTAGGTTGTACCACATATCACTCTACATTCTGTAAATGGTGCGTCGCTCATATAAGAGCTCTTTGTTTATCTTTCTTTGTCTTCGGTTTCTTGGCTTCTATTTGAATGTGTGCTCCAGTTGATATATGCCAGCACCGCCAACAGTTACTATACACGAAGCCCTGTTGTTATTCCCATTTTTAACTTTTCGTTTTGTTCTGTGGTCCACTGATTTGTAGTTTGCTGGTGAAGTGCATGTGTGGCATTCACAAAGTCCAGCATTTGGACCTTGCCATCTCTGGGTCTGGATGGGGGGAAAAATCACTTTGTGAAACCCTGGAGAGCCCGCTGCCAGTCAGTGAATGCAATAAGGACAACTGCCATTAGTGCACGGCTTCTTTGTCAATCATCCAAAGCCCTGCTCTATATCCTGTTGCTGTGGCACATCCCACCATGTTCTCCCTCTTTTGTTTTATCTTTTGATTTTGCTCTGCAAGCAGCAGTAGACAGCTGGGTCTAACCCAGGACAGAAGAACCAGTGTCCCTCCAAACATAAGCAAAACTGGCAGTAACAGGAACCCAGCAATTCCCATCAGTTCTGAGTCCCTGCTATGAAGAACTATGAGAAAAGGAAAAGGAAGCTAGACCAAAGTTCCCAGAACTATATGGAGCACTGTCCACTGTACCTAGAGCCCAGTGGTGGAGGAAGTGGCTCAGGGCCTTTTTGGCAGCTGTCCCCACACTATGGAACGTCAACCCAATTGAGATTCGTCTGGCGCCGACGCTGATGACATTTTGGTGTCAGGTCAAAACCTTCCTGTTCCAAAAGGCTTTTAATTGAAATAATATCAACTGTGGGTCCTGATGGCCATTTTTAGAGTACCTATTTTAATTGTATTTTAATTGCTTTATCTTTTTTATCTTATTTTAATTGTTGTAAGCCGCCCAGAGACCTTCAGGTAGAGTGGGTGGCACATAAGTTAAATAAATAAATACAGTGGTGCCTTGCTAGATGATGATAATCCGTTCGCTGTTTAGCGAAATCATTGTCTAGTGAAAAGCATTTCCCCATTGGAATGCATTGAAACCTGTTTAAGTGTTCCAATGGGGAAGAATCGTCGTTGTCTAGCGAAGATCGGCCATAGGAAAACCACTTTGTGAACCACCGATCAGCTGTTTAAATCGCTGTCTTGCGAAGCTTAGGTCCCGAAAACACCCGTTTTGCGAGCACGGAGGGAGCTGTCAAAATCGTTGTCTAGCAAAAATCGGTTTGCAAAGCAGGGACCAAACATTGTCCAGCAAAGTTCCCCCATAGGAATCACTGTTTTGCGAATCGCTATATCGATCACAAAAAGTCAATGTCTAGCGAAAAAACTGTCATGCAGGGTAACTGTCTAGCAAGGCACCACTGTAAGTAAGTAAGTAAGTAAGTAAGTAAGTAAGTAAGTAAGTAAGTAAGTAAGTAAGTAAGTAAGTAAGTAAGTAAATAAATAAATAAATAAATAAATAAATAAATAAATAAATAAATAAATAAATAAGAGGACACTGTTCCCATAGTTTTTTCAAATGTGGAGCAACAACAGGGTAGAGGATGGATGAATCATCTGACTGGTATAAAGCAACTTTTGGTTTCATAAAAAGTGCATGAGAGTGATAGATTTATTCCCACTTTATATTGATTATTGTGAATATTATAAATTAATATACCAATTAAGTAGTTACAAAAGAGCATGTTATATAACTCTGCAGTAAAAAAAGTCACTTTCTGTATGTATGTACATTTATCTCAAAATATAAATTCAGGTGGACAAATTCATGGCCTCCAGTTGCCCCTGCCTTGTTGCTGTTCTATTCTCTGTCCTTTTGTCAGTTTACACAAGAGTAATTCTGTTGTAGAGCTCCCCAAATCTGCATGCTACAATGCATAGAAAAGACAATAATGCATGTGATTTAAATGTGCTCCTTGCCTGCTTAAATGTGGAACTGAAGATACCCATTCAGTGTTAAAGCTAATTGAGGCCCAATATGTGGCTGAGCAGTCCGTTAGGCATAAGAGGACATTTTTGCAGGCCATCCCCACTCACTCAGTGTCCTGTGAAGGCTCACTTAGAAATTAAGTGTGTCTCTGTGTGTGTGTGTGTGTGTGTGTGTGTGTGTGTGTGAGAGAGAGAGAGAGAGAGAGAGAGAGAGAGAATATGTGTGTGCTAAATACAGTTTTGCATATCAATTGGTATAAGAGCTTATAATTTTACGCACGCAGGAGTGACAGCACAGAGCAACTCGACATATGTTCCAGCTCATGACGGCTTTTTAATGTTAAAACAATTTGTAAAGTACTCATTTAAGACATGGGTTTCGTATAGCTTGCTTTATGCTTTACCAGGGCAAGAAAGAGAGAGAGAGAGAAAGTGTACCAGTAAATGTCAGTAGTAACATCACCAGAGCCACTAACTGTACAAAGCACATACTTTATTTTGTCTAAATTGTTTGAACTAGCCCCAGCCAAGAAAAAGGTTTTAAGTACCCTACTGGGACAGATGCTAAGCGGCAACAATAGAAGCCACACTAATGCGATCCAGGTAACCCAATCCTGTTTCAAAAACACAGGCAAGGCTAATTACAGCACTGCTGAGTCAAATTTCTTGTGCCACTGCAACCCGCGGGAACAGGTCAAAATCAAATGTTATTCAAACCACAGTCATATCAACCTTCTCTATCAAAGTCACAATTTAAAACTGAGAGAAGAATTTTAAAAAAAGATTAACTAGTTCACATTCAAAATGTGTGGTCAGATAAAATTGATTATAGCTCCAGTCTCTCAAACCAAATTCAGCTGTTTTCTGTCTCAGTGAAACATTTTAAAATCTTGCTTGTATCAACTTAAGTCTTGTGTGACCAAAATCAGTCATAACGATGGAAGAGCTTTTTCTTATGAAGTAGAATTCAGAGAAGTTCAGATTATTGTATCTTGATTTACTTAGAGAATCTATGAATTCTCTTCATGTGTCCAGATTAGTCCTTTCCTAATCGCTTAATTCACCATAGTTCTCATTTTGTCTTCACTGGGAAACGATTACCAGTTGCGGAAAGACCAAGGATAGAAAATCATGGCTTGAAGTTAGTATAACATCCCAGCCTGTTTTGAAGCTAGCAACCATACTTCCTGATTTCAGATGAAATGAGAAAGTATGGCTGACTAGAGACTTTCTGGTTTGAATGCATTCAGCATAGAAGGAAGACTGAAGCCATTGTCCCTACAAATGAACATAAACTTCTTTCACGTCTTGGCTTATTATGAAAAGATGTGATCACCTGACCACATGCAGCAGCTGAGGCTTCGTAACACCAGAGCCAATCAAACTCAATCTGGTCAGCAAAACACTGCAGACATTTCCATCAAGTCACTATTAAGCGTCTTTCTGCTAGACTGTTAGGAACAATACTGAGAAAGATAATATTAATTTAGTTCCTTCTGATGCACCCAACAGTGCCACTATTAATACCGCAGCACTCTATGATACTCCTTGGATACTCTACAATACACTTTGTGATTCCCACAATGACATAGGCTGGCTCCATCACGTATGTAATGTTCACCTTTGCAACAAACTACCTGAGGAATATTTTCAAAGACGTTTGTGAGATGCTACTACAACAGAAGCTGTCATATTTTAATAATAATAATAATAATAATAATAATAATAAAAACTGATTCTATATATTTCTACATGCCTTTTTTCCAAATAAAGTTCCACTGATCTCAGCTTTGCTTTCCATCTATAATCTATGCTTAAGTACCACCAAACACAATTGCATATACTGTAAATCTTATTTTCACAGATAACAGAATACCTATTTGCACCACCACCAGACACTGCCTGATAATACACTGATTCTATATATTTCTACATGCCTTTTTTCCAAATAAAGTTCCACTGATCTCAACAGAGCTTTCCATCTATAATCTATGCTTAAGTACCACCAAACACAATTGCATATACTGTAAATCTTATTTTCACAGATAACAGAATACCTATTTGCACCACCACCAGACACTGCACTTTCCGATAATACAACAAAGAAAACACAAAGAGCCTAAAATAATGGACATTAATTTAGATGATAAAGCAAGAGGCAGAATTCAGTTCTACAGTTATAAGGGACTTATTCGCTTAAGTGATGATAGATAATACCAGCCTTGTGTGGTCACTAGATTCTCCCGGAGTAGCACTACATTGTAAGAGTTTATCATGTGTTTCCATATGACAAGTTTCAAAAATTAAAATACAAACATGACAATTTGGTCACGGTGTCATCTAATTTTCAAACCTGCAAAGTGCAAATTGCACAGAAGGACTCCAGTAAATTTATTGTTCTGTGGTGATTTATTTGGTCGTGTCAGATTAGTAATTTGGATCGGTTTGGAAACCATAATAACTAAGACAGGCAAAATTAATTAATCAGCTGACAATACAATCAAAATGGCACTCAAACCAAAGGAAGCAGTCTGGAAACAAGGCAACCAGAGGAGGGGAGTGGTGGCAAAAAATAATATCCCTTCAGGAGCATGAATCAGATACTATCACTCGGGAGCTCCATAGAGCCTCCTCCTGCTTTTACAATCCCATATGGCCTTTCCATGAGAATCAAAACCTTACAGCACCACCGCTTGCTCACAAACAGCAAAATTACGCCCATGGAGGCACAACATCACTCTTTGCCCATTAGCAACACCGGGCAGGTGTTTCATTATAATGAGCCGCACCAAATAAATAAATAAATGACGGCGACATAAATTCACAGAAAAAGGATAGCAGTCCTTACCTGTCAATTATCACTGGATCCGAAGGAGTCTCATTTCTGTTGCCGCAGCTTTTCTTGTCACAACAGCGGCTGCAGAGCAAAAGGGAGAGGATTTAGTGCAGCCATTACACTCTCCAAATCATAATTACAAATACAGGCGGGTTCACATTGCCAGCTAGAGTTACCATTCTCTCCCTGCCTGGAAGTCAGTCGAATATGGTGGGTCACAGAGGGGTTAATTACTAGGTTTAACTTCTTGTACAGCTGGCAGGCACGCCCCAGCTACAAATGGGCAGAAAGGACGAACCACGGTGGGGAGGGGGGGCTCCCCCTCTTTCACAGATAATAATGCCAGAGTTATTGAGATAACTATAATGGTCTTCTCTGTCAACATAGCAAATAGTCCAAGGTATCCTATAAGTAAATGAAAACAAGGAGTAGGTACCTAAGCCCTATAGGGAACTGATGGTTTTAGCAATCCCGTTCTAAGGCCTGGGGATCTGGGGTTTTTTCTCTGATGACAACAAAAACAGCAGCAGCACTTTCTGCACTTCATGGCTGTGAAGTTGTTGTACCCATCCTGAAAGCAAGTGGGGGGGGCGGCGGGGGAGGAGAGGCATACATCCCAAGCTCATGTTTTTTCCAATTGTGTTATTTAAGGCCACATTCTTGAATTTTCTGCAGGGGTGCTGCCTGAAATCTATCTGGAATAAAGACAATCACTGAACAAATGAAATCTAGTTGTGAGCCGTAGCTTTGCATTTATGCCTTACTAGCAGATAATAGACAATTTCCAACATGATGTATTTCTTTTTTACTCCAAATGCTGAAAAATGTATAAACATCTTAAACAAGCAGTCCTTAGCATTGAGCTGCTTTTCTACTTAGGACTTCATGCTGCAGGATCAATATCCAGTGGAAGGCTAATCATCTAATGAATCTTACATAATTTAAGATTTTCTACCAAAAAAGGAATAATTTTTCCAATTATTGACCTTCGTCCATTCATGAGACTAGTCCTATTTAAATAACCACCAGAACCACAACAATTACCACTACATGGTACTGGAGAAAGGCTATATCTTTGTAGGATGATATAGCCAGGGTTGTAATCCTAAACACATTTCTTAGGGGGCACGTTTCACTGAATGGAACAGGCCCTTTTTCTGAAAAACATGCATAAGACTGCACTGCACACCTCTTCAAAATAGGCTCACCAGTTAGTAAACCGTGAGCAAAAGCTGTTTCCTTCAGTAGTTACCACAGAAGGGCAAAATGGAGCAATCATGTTTACTAACAGGTCTCTTCAATTAATCACATATTCCCAGAAAAACTAACTGCTAACCAGAATATTTGGTCAACCATTTAGTCAGGTCACTCAGTTAAAACCCTTCCAATCAAACACACACCAGACAAAAACTAAATGAAAAACTCAAAGTATTCATAACAGACATCCTTACAAAAATGACAACTGGCAAAAGTGTTGTCTAAAAAGAGATGTTCCCCCTTTACTTTTGAGCTACCAGCTTTTGAACCAACCCCTTCAACAGCTGTTTGGTCTGCAGCAAATAGCAAGGTGATCATGTTGACTTCCATGAAAAGAATAACATGTTGGTTTCTAAAGACTGGAACCACTGCTAAGACAGGGGAGCACCCCATTTTTTTCTGTCCAGTTCGCCATGCTATTTCCCTCACACAGAGAGAGTGTTGAATCAAAGATGCAAGCCTAACACAGCATTCACCCATGTATCCAAAAAAGGGGGAAAGAACCTTTTTTGACTGATGCATAAATATGTGTGTTGTCATACCACTGGTATAGTTATGAGGGATCTTTAAGGAGATGACCAATGCTCTGGTGCAATTTAGGTTGCAGTCCTACACAAGCTTTCACATGGGACTTTCTTGCGAATAAACCTGTGTAGAATTATGCTGTAAATCAGAATGAAAAACTGACTATCACCTATTCATATTTTGTACTACATCTCTCAGTCTCTTACCACTGGCTTTGCAGGCTGGGCACAATGAGAATGATAGTCAAAACCAAAAGCTTTCCTGCCCCTGCAGCAAATCTTAAACAAGTGGAAGAGCAGCCTTTGAACTTTCCTGGGAATCTTGATATTCTAATGAGTCTGTAAGTCAGGAATACAGACATGGTTCCACCTAATGTCATCATGTTTACTATACACACTTTGAAGGCCTGAGCTTTGCTTTGATGAGTCACCAACAGTGCCCTCATCACTCTGTTTAGTGACTGTGTCAATACCTAAAAAGGAAAGGTGAGTTAATAGAAGTTATTCATAGCACCCCCTGCTAGAGCTGAGGGAATGCATCCCTTTGCATCTTCCACATTGTCGGTGTGTAAGTTAGAGTGTGTACACTGGTATGAGACAGACACACTCTCACTGATAGCCTACATATAAATCTTATTAGGACTTGTGCATTCAATTTTCCCCCGAAAGGAGTTCAGCAGACTAAGTGGAGAACTGGGACCTGAAAGGTAACAGGCTGTAGAACTTCCTCAAGGGTATTATGAATACACATTTTAGCAATATAACCTTTGTGAGATTAAGCTTTAAATAAAGGATACTTCTACTACATCAAATACATTTTTTAAAAATTTATACAAACATGTTAATCATGTCAGTTATTCAAAGTGAATTCACGCCAGTTATGGAGATGAAAAAAAATTAAGCCAAAAAAGTAACAGAAATAGTTCAAGGAAGTAACTGAGAGCCAAATCAGGCTTTATAAGAGTTATGCGTTCCTCTTCAAAATAAATCTGGGAAGATCCAATATGGATTTCACTATCAATGAATGGAATGAGGGAATTAACTATTTCCTCCTAGCATTAAGGCTGAGATCCAAACCACACAAATCTCGAGATTAGTACGAGCTAGAGATGAGAAAGCAAAACAGCACAAGACATGTGCCTACAGGTTTTCTTCACAACCCACTTACATGTTTATATATTATAACAAAAATATCAATCACTCCCACTTAGTTGTTATAATGCTTGCTGGATTTGATGCTTGAGGAGCTTCAAGAAGATAGCTAGAATCCCAGTTAGAAGGGCCATGGGTCATGCTGGTTAGTTCTATCTATCAGCTATGTATACCTAGTTATAGTTTGAATAGTCTCACCTTGACCAGCTGCTGCTGTCCCCTTTTGGCTAATATCATGACTTCTCTTGTCTATGGCAGCTTCCACAACGTTGTGACACAAAGCCAAGACCTAATCTAGGGCCACTTTTTAAAAAATTGTGATACAGTTCCCAAACCTCATCAAAGGCAACTTGCATACCTGTCTATTGGCACTGAAAAACCAAGTAACAAAAAAAGCAAACACAGAGACAAACAGCAGTGAGAGAGCTGTTTAAAAAGAGCCTTTGCTCACAGGTTGGTAACCTTTCTTTCCGTCTACCCATCACAAGGGCTGCTATCACAAATTAGCTTTGGAAGATACTCCTGTAATGTGAATTATGATGGAAAAAGTGGCTAGAATATGGTTGCTTGTGCTCAGCATTTTTTATCATCAAAGGAATTATCTCTTTAAGATACTATGAAATTCTGAAAAATAAACAAATAGCTGTCTGAAATCCCAATCCAGCGGTGTCATTTCTTATCCCCTCTCATCCTCTAAGATTTGAGTTCTTTGTCTCCTCTTCCACTACACAGCTGATTTTCCCCCACCACAACTCCACTGCTGTAAAGTACTCGGTTTTGGTGACATACACTCAAAGTTTTATTATGCTGTTAGCCTTGATCGAAGGCACTGCTGAAAGTTGTTTGGGAATTAAATATCTAAAACAAGCTATTTTGAAGCACAGGCCTTCACTATTTCATGTCTGGAATGAAGAAATTTCATCTTAGAGAGAGCAAGCTGTCTTTCACACCATATGGCTAATGGTAGTGCATAGCAATTAGCTGGGCTGATTAATGGGGAACAGACTTTAATTTTATGCTTATAATTGAGACTGCATTTGAACCCCTGGTGCAGATTCAGCACATCCCAACTTTCACTTACAAAGGGCAGGAAAGCAATGAGCAGTGAAATCAGAAATCCCCCCCCAACACGCATGCACACGTGTACACAGAAAACGTTAACCTTCCTTATTGTCTGAAAGTATGACATTGGCACCATTGGTCATAGATTTGTGTAGCAAGATCAGGATCCTGACATATAAACAACATCCTTGATACTTCTGTCAACATCAACACCTACGATTTAGCTTAGCCGTAAAATATGTTAATAGGGGGTTTAGCTTCGTATTTCAAGTAGACACTGGCAATTGTTTTCCATTCTTCCCTAGAAACATATCAAGAAACAATATTGTAAAAGTGATTGAGAAAATTAAATAATGGTTTTTCGGGCTCACAGAGTGCTACTCCTGTCCTCTGAAGATGCCAGCCACAGAGACTGGTGAAACGTCAGGAGGAACAACCTTCAGAACAAAGAGCCCGAAAAACCCAAAACAATCATTAGATCCCAGGCATGAAAGACTCTGTGAATACAAAATTAAGTAATCTTCCTATAGGCCCTTCTTTGGTTGGTACCTTTTTCTTATCTTAGATTGCAAGAGATTGGGACAGAACAGGACATACCCATTCTTTTTAAAGACCCAGTTCTATAGATGGCACTATACAACTTAAAGAATTATTATTATTATT